CAATATTATATTATATAAAATTAATATCAGTATAATATATATAATATGTGGTATAAATAGTTCAGTTTTGAGGGCAGCAGCTCAAAGTTGGAACTGTTTTGACTTTAAGTCAAATGTTTGTCATAGATCAAAACCACCCGGGTTTGATCTAATTCTTATTTCCCATTATTTTATTAAAATAGGCATATGCGTCTCTGAATTGACTAAATCTATAGCAATAAAGTAACTTAATTTCAATTTCACTCTTCAAGTCTTCAGTCTTGCAGATTTAGAGACCCATGTGAGAAAGACTAAAGATGTTCCTTCACTTACTTTGAGAAATAATAAAAGATTCTTGAATTTCAAACTCCATTTCTTCACTCCCATTGTTTTTAAATGAGGAATTTCTAACTGATGAATTTGCTAGAAATCTCCCCACCAGAAGGACTGTACTTAGGATGGAGGGAGGATTCAGAGGTGAGCCCCTAGCTATTTGCAGATTTTCTAAACAGCCACTGGGCAACAGCGCCCCCTGGTGCCCTCAAAACTAACACGAACCTTCTATGGTAGGAGACCCAGGCTGCTCAAACGAGCTTCAGGGCAGCACAGATTTGTTAAGCTCTGTTTATGTACTAAGGTATTTTGGAGGAGTGTGGGGCAGGGATTCACAAAGAAGTAGAACCCCTCATCTTGGCTCTGAAGGAATTCTCAAGTTAGTTGGGAACAAAACCAGACCGTGTCATGAAACTCCTGACTGTAGGGCCTATGGATGTTAAGGACATGGTGCTTGATTTGATGAACACTGGAGAGCCATTCTTCACACTTAAACCATCCCAGGTGGTGCTGGTCTTCTAAAGATATGCCTCCACAAATGAACAGTGTTTCACAGACCTTGTATCTTCCTTCGATCTCACCAAAATCTCTATGTGATCTCAAGCAACGTCTCGAACTTGATCTACAGTTTTTACCTCCCTGGTGTATTAATGGATAAAAAATAATTTTTCTGGATAAAAAGAATTTGGCCACACTGTATCAGTAACTTCCAGTAAGAAACAAGTGGTAAATAGGGGTTATGTCATTATTGTTTCTTTTACCCAAGTTCTAATAAATCTTACCCTCAGAGTAGGTGTGTCAATCAATGAGGAGGAATAGTTGAATTTCTAAACTGGGTCCTGTAAAAGGCATGTAATCACACCCACTCAACTCAAGGTATCCTGTCCCTGCCCCCCCGGTACTTACTTCTGGATCGCATGTAGCAATCATTACAGTTTAGAAGACCATTTCGAATCCTAACATCCGTCCCACTCACTGCATCTCCAAGCTGTCCTTTACAAATTCCACACTGTAGGGCAGAAAGAACAGAAGTTATAAGGGGAACAGGAATCATTTCTTTATAATGCTTAGTTACGGTTCACACAAATATGCCATGGTCATTTCTACAACCTCCACATTTGTTGAGCACCTACTACATGTTAGATGTTGTACCAAGAGCTGACTCACAGCAATGATACACTCTTAGCATTTTATCCCAACTCCTTGCATCTTACAGGGAAGGACACTGGTTCAGAGGCTCACAGACGTGTCCAGTGTTGTAAAGCTGGTAGGTGGTGTCAGGTTGATCCCAAATCAAGATGAAACATCTCCATCAAGATGGAACAACCGTTTGAAACAGATGACGTCCTCATGGTTTTAAAGAAACACACAGCCAATGGATTATCAATTAAAAGATTATGAATAATCTTTAAATGCTTTCCAGAATTACTGGCGAGTTCTACCAGATCAGAATTACTAGGAAATAGCCATTCCACCTTACATTTCCACACTGAAAGCAGTAACACCCAATGGTACAAACCCACTGGGAATAAAACGCCTTGCAGCAAAGTCAGCCTGAGTGCAGAAGAAGCCACTGGCTGGAACAGAGAAGGTGGCAATGGAGGTTGGTTCAGAAGCCAGCCTTTTGGGTAGTGGGGGAGGGTTAGGACCCAGCTCAGGAGAAGAGGGCCAGCCCCAGATTCATGCTCTGGGGTCACCCGGGGGTAGGGGAAGGCTTCATCCAAATTATGTTATAAGCTCCATTGACTTCCAGGGTAGGGGATAAATCTAAGAGGTGATGTGCCTTAAAGTGTCAGATCAGCTCTAGGAAGTGAATCATTAGAGAGAATAAAGGCTTTAATAGCTAAGAAGGCAAGTCTTCTCTCCCTGGAGAAACTGCAAAGAATCTTTGCCATCTGGACTATTTCACGTTCGGGGAAATTCTCTGAGAATAAACTGTGGTGTTGGAACACATTATCTTGGAATTGCCAGGACATTTTAAAAAGTATATTCTTTGAGCCTCAAAACACTCCTAGACAATTTAGCATATGCATTATCTAGCTTTATTTTACACAATGAGAATATTGATAAGTTGAGTCTAATTAAGTATCCATATTGTGTTTTGCCCATGGTAAGTTTTGCTTTCCAGTAATTATTGATATTATTACATTAATAATTTTGAGGCTTCACTCACTTTCTCTTAGCTTATAGGTAAAGTGGGAGTTATTTTAAAACCACGCAAGTTTACTTGATAGCTGAAGAACCTACCGACAAAGAAACCGAACAAAATTCGAGAGGGGAAAAGAAAGCACGTTAGCTTGATGAAGAGAAAGAAATGACTCTTACTCAGAGTTCGAGGGTTTAGCTTCAACACGAGATATTAACTTGAATTGTGTCCATGAGTGAAAAGAAAAAAAAAAAATGCCGATATAGTCCAACTTGTAAATTTTATAATAAATGAGCTAGAAGTGGTTCACACCTTATTAGCAGGAGATGTGGGACTAGGACCTAGGCCTCCTCATTTTCAGTGTATTGGTCAATTCATTCATTGAAAACGACTGACACCATCTCTGCTAGGTTCAGAGGAAATCACAGTGAGCTGGACAGATATGGCCCCCGCCCTTATGGAGGTGATGGTGTATTCGAGGCGATGACAATTAAACAATGAAACAAGCGAGCGGTAAGGACCAGGAAAGGCTCTCTAAGGACTGTAAAGGCAACTGACTTGGTCTGGGGGACAGGGCAGCTTCCCAGAGGGAGTGATACTCAATCCGTGATTACGCACATATTCATCTGGAGACCTGCAGTTAGGCAACTAGCTATTCACCGCTTAACTGACAGAAAATCTTCCATTCAAAGACAAAAACCTTTGATGTGAAGTCACAAGAGTGTCAGAAGCGGCCAAGATGTTACACCCCAGACACACAGCACAAATCCGTTTTGCTTCTTCTAACCTGACGTCCCAGAGGGACGTGTGAGAGGAGAGTATCATCCTGAAGGACGGGCTCTGTGAACACTTCTGTACAACCTAGAGGGGCTGCCCTCACGAGCAAAGGCCGTCAGGATGTCCGCGAGGGAATTTCCCAGCACAGAACGATGCTAGAAGATGCTAGAAGACATCACTCGGAGAGGAGAGTGGTGCGTACGTACCCTAAAGCACTGGATGTGGAAGTAGAGATGGAGGGTCTCAATGATCATGGCAGCTCCTTTGCCCAGAGGGAGCCCACAGGACGAGCACAGCTTCTTCCCACTGATGGACCTGGGTTTCAAAATATACGTGGTAATAGAATGTCCATTTAGAATAGTTGGTGAAACGCACTAACATGTAGCCTCATGCAAAAAAACAAAAACACAACGATGGATTTAAAAAATGTTTATATCATGAACGCAATGGCAATTGCTGAACTGATAATGAGCAGGAATTAAGCATCAGATACAAGTTGCAAGCAAACTGCTAGACTAAATACAATAGGCCTCGGTCGTGGCATGGAATTTGGGGGGTGTGTGTGTTTGGGTGTTGCAGTTATCTGTTATAGGAAGTCTATGTTGTGTCTACTCAACCACAGTGATTAAATGCCTTGAAAAGACTCCATGTACTTAAACGTTTTCTTAAGTCCTAAAAGATAATCCAATTTAGCTTTACTAAGGTTTCAATGTTGCTTTAAGATTTTCTATCATTGGCTCATTGGCCCACTAGGGCATTTCTTTTTACTTATTAAGAAAAAATTGTTGTGGGGCGCCTGGGTGGCTCAGTTGGTTAAGCGTCTGCCTTCGGCTCAGGTCATGATCCCAGGGTCCTGGGATGGAATCCCTCATCGGGCTCCCTGCTCAGCGGGGAGTCTGCTTCTCCCTCTCCCTCTGTGCTCTCTCTCACTCTCTCTCAAGTAAATAAATAAAATCTTAAAAAAGAAAAAGAAAAAGAAAAAATTGTTGTTGTTGTTGTTTAAAAATAGAGGCAATTGTCATACAGCCCAGTAGGTACCAGGCAGACTTGGGACCCACTCCCTGCTCTGTCACCAAGTTCTATGATCGGGTGTAAGGAACGCACTTTGGGTTTTCCTTTCACTTTTAAAATGAGAGAATTGGATTAGATGGTCTCTACCTACCACCTCTTCTAGTGCAAACACTCTGGGGTTCCATAATCTGGGCACTTGCCATCTCTCTAAGTTGGAAGCACCTGAAGGGCACGGGCTGCATCTCCCCCATCTCTGTTCCCCTGCAGCCCCTACCACAGGGCCTACCACCGGACTAGAACCAGACCCCAAAGACTGACACTGGGTGAGAGCACTAGATGGCCTCCTCTAAGGCAGCTTTCCCACAACTGAGATCAGATCACAGTGATGCCTACTGTCTGAAAAGCTCTTGGAATTACATAAGAAATTTTAAAACATGCAATTTCATTCAAAAGCCAACAGAGTACAGATGAACTGAAGAAACAGAAAGGAAGACAAGAGAAAAGAGGAAGAGTTGCTCCAAGCAAACTCTATTTATTAAGATTTCCCTCTTATCCAGTAGTAAAATGAAATTTCTAAATCAAAGAAAACCTCTGAGTTCCCACTACATTTGTCTCTCTAGTGAATGGGAACTCAGGCAGCTTTTAAGAATATCATGGGGCCCGATTAATGTCCAGAAGCAATCGTAACAGAGCTTGAGTGGGGGAAAGGGAAGGATGAAGTTTCATTGCCAGCCCCTGCCTGGTTCCCTGTAAGAGCCATCAGCAGACCCTGCCCAGAAGGCCCGGGCGAACTTGGAGGGAAAGGCGCCGGCTGAGGAGCCTAGCAATTGTCTGGTGGATTTTATTATTAGATTCTGGGTTCTGCACAATGTAATTAAAGCCCCATGGTCACAGCCATGCCAACATCATACACTTGGCTTTTTCTATCACAGGCTGAGAAAATCTGCAGGCAGATGGGGGATGTGTTCTTTCCTCGTGTGTGTGTGTGTGTGTGTGTGTGTGTGTGTGTGTGTAGGAAGAGAGGTAGATGAACAAATCTCTCAGAATCATCTGGCAAGCACTAATTTGGTTGAAATCATGCTCAGCAGGTGCTAGGTGAAACCAAGCAGCCTCAGAAAGGCTTTTTAACCTCTTGTACCTGTTTGGTGATTGGCCAGGAGGGGTGGGAGAACAAGGGGACAAGTGCCCAGCCTGGAAATTCTCTCGAGGGCTTTTCCTGTAACACGGTAGAGGAGCCAAAAATTATGAGGAGAGAAGCCCATCCCACAAGAAGAGACATTTTGAATTAAAACAAAACAAAACAAAACAAAAACACTCCCTTGACAACCAAATAAGAAACAACAGAGTGCCCTCGTGGTGATTTTTTAATGAGGAACAAAAACCGTCATTCCAGCTAGCAAAGACCATACACGCATTGGCTGCATAATATCAAAAGCAGGTTGGCACGGGTGGACAGGAAAGACAAAATATCTTTCTAATCTTTATTTTTTTGCCAGGTACTTTGCTAGTTAACACTGCATGCTGGGTTAGATATAAAAATCCTGGACTGGGTGGGAGGGGAGAGATGAGTAGGGATACAGGCAAAAGCTCTTAAAGGAGCTAAAGGGCAGAGCTTTACTGGAGGTATTTTTTTAGCGAGGTGGCTTCTCCCCTACCAATAAGTTCATCATGGGTACATGTGATTAGGGGTAATGTTCAAAACATGTCATAACTGCTAGGTCATGAACATCCACACAGCAGAATGGTCCCCAGCTAGAAGCTACCGCAGTGGTTTGACAGGTGCTCTTCGTGTCCACATGAGCTTTGCCTACAATTAAGCCTTGCTCTGTGGTGGCACATGAGCCTTGTCTGGGCTCTTGCTTTTAAGAGTTCATTTCCTTTGTGAAGAAAGGGACAGAACACAGAAAAGACGGAGGAAAAGAGAAATGCCAACACAAGTGAACAGAGCACCAGTCCATCTGTCTTCGAACTGCTTTCAGAAAAACTCCCTGAGCCCCTGCCCACTCCAACTTCCCTCCTCAGGCAGAGCTTGTCTCCTCCAGAGTATCAGCTTTTCATGTAATACCCTAAAGTATAAGTACATTGCCTTAGAAAAGGTTGACAATCAGAGCAGTAATCAACAACAATGATTACTTCTAGGTGATTTTATCTTCTATTGATTTTGAGTGTCATCCGGACAGATAGTAATAAAATAGGATACACATAAGAGAAAAGGGGAAATGGTTCAAACACTATATTGAGAAAAAAAGTGTAACATAATAAATAAGGTAAAAAGATGTCACCACCACCACCGTCGCCACCATCACCATCATCACCATCACCACCATCATCATCACCACCATCA